AGTATAGGTGGGAGGACTGGAGCCCAAATCACTTATGCTCCCTGTCTACCTCCCTAACTTGGCAGGTATCACCACAGAAGCACTAGGGTCCCATAAATAGAATGGAGTTTGAAAAGACTCATATCATTATTAACATGATTTATTTGGGGAGGTAGGAGGGACATAGGGGGTTGGCATCCACAATAAAACAGTAGATAGTACACGTATTATATATATGCATATGTATATGTATATAAATACACACACATATGCATATTTAAAAGATGGTCACTAGTATATTAATGGTGGTTATCTCTGGTTAGCAGAATTAATTTCAAGTGACCTTAATTCCTTCTTTATATTTTTGTGTTCTTCAACTTTTAAAAAATGAACATTTATTATTTATATAATCAGAAAAAAGCTATTTTCATGAGGAGTAAAGAAAATGACTAACTCAACACATCTAAGAAAGGTCCTTTCAGCTCTGCCATTCTATTAAAACCATTGTTAATAAAAAAGTTGACTTATATCCAGGACTATTGACACTTTAATAAGGGACCCATGAAGATGATCAGTTCAATAGCCCCTAAGGAATAAAGTACTACTAATGAGATTCCAGGAATCGAGTCTGTAAAGTTGGTCAGAAGTTGTAACTTCCATCCCTTAAGTCACACCACAGATCACTCATTGAGTGTTAGATAAAAACAATTGTGTGGGGCTTTTATGATTTTGGTTTAAGTTTATTTTGTTTTTTTAAAATGATAATGGCAGAGGCTATGTAGATACACTCTTCTATTTCTATTTAGCTCACAAACCCCAGAATCTATTGCCCAATCTCCTTTTGCTCCTACTCTGGCCCCCTGCCTAGCTCTCTCTTTCTCCACCTTGCTATGTGTGGAGGGACTAAGTGAAGACAGATTGGCCAGGCTAATTTTTCCAAGGGTGAGCTCAACTTTGGATTTTTGCTTTAAAGTGGAATATGAAAATTTCCTTTAGGACAGTTTCCTGTTTTGGATCACAGTCTATTAGTAAAATTTTGCCAATATCAACTCAAGAAATAAAATCTAGGTGGAAAAAGAGAGAGGGAAAGAGAGAACTCATTCTTCATTTACCATTTTAAACCTCAGCAGAAGAAAAAAGTTATTTATATGTATTTCTTTTCTTGATATTTACCTATTTAGCAAACATGTGTTGAGTGCTACTATATACCAGACACAGAAACATATGGTTTTACATATCTAGATCTTTTGTTTCTCATGACAACCCTGTAAGTTAGAATTGTCACCTATACTTTATAGATCAGGAAACTGAGGCACAAGGAGCTGAAGTGACCTGTCCCAGGTCACATTGGTGATAAGATTCAGAATAGACTCTTCGGTCACCAGAGCTACTGCTTTTCCCCCCAGCCTTGCAGCTGCCTCAACAGTTGGAATTGTTGTGGAGACTGTGCTGTGAATCGTCAAAATACTAGCAAAGATATGCACCCTTTTCCATCAGATGACAGCATTTCATTTGTCTAATTTTACCAGCCTATGTATTTAATGGCAGAATAAGTTGGTTGAATATATACAAAGGGTGGTGTTTTTGGCTTCTTGCCTAATCAGGTTTAAATGTACTTTTAAAAAATGTCTCCTTCAAAAGTCAGTGTTTTACTTAAAGGGGAAACATTGGAAAAATTCTCATTAAAGTCAGGAGAAAGAAAAGGATGCCAATTATCGCCGCTGTAATTTAGCATTTTGTTGAAGGTATTAGCCAACCCAATTAGATGAAATTAGTGTTGTAAGAATTGGAAAGGAAGAGATAAAACCATCTTTATTCACAAATAATTGTCTTATACCTGAAAACCCAAGAACCAAATGAACTACTACAAACATTTAAGAAAATTCAGCATAGTAGCAAAATATAAAATTAATATGTAAAAATCAAAACCCTTAATATATGAAAACATTACTAGTTAGAAGATATAATGGAAGAGAAGACCTCCATTTACAAAAGCAACCAAAAAGATTAAATACCTAAGAGGGAACTTACAAGAAATAAAACCAAGATAAGGAATACTTTCAAGTACGTTAATGTTCATCACCTAAACCCATCGATCAATCCTAGCATCAGTGAAAATGAATCAGACACGTCTCTTGATGAGATGTAATAATATGAAGTTGTTGCTTGCTGCTGAGTTGATTTCTACTCATATAGACCCTATAGGACAGAGTAGAACTGCCCCATAATGAACCGCCCAACTTTCAGTTAGCAGCCTAGTGCTTAGCCATTGCACCACCAAACAAAACAAAACAAAACAAAAAAACCAAACCCTTTGCCGTGGAGTTGATTCCAACTCACAGCAGCCCTATAGGACAGAGTAGAACTGCCCAATATGGTTTCCAAGGAGTGGCGGTGGATTCGAACTGTTGACCTTTTGGTTAGCAGCCGAGCTCTTAACCACTGTGTCAGCAGGGCTCCTTTAATATTAAGTACACAGAGTCAATTATGAAGTATTCTTACCAAAAAAGTTGAATGCAAATCTTATCAAGAATTTATAGGTATCTTCCATTTATAAGAAATATAGGGGATAGAAGAATAAACACAGCAATGAAGCAAACAGACATATCTAGAACACAGGACATTCCATAGTACAATTGGCCTAGTTTCTTCAGCAAATCAAAGGCATAAAAATGGGGGAGGAGTACTGTTGTAGATTAAAAGACAATGAATATATATAATAATCAAATACCATGTGTGGACATTGTTTGGATCCTGATTCAAACCAAACATTTTTGAGACAATTGGGGACATTTGAATATGGACTGGGTATTAAATGACAATAAGGGGGTGTTTTATAATTTTGTTAGGTGTGATAATGGCTTTGGGGTTCCGTAAAAAATATTGATATTTTTAAGAGATGCATACTGAAATATTTAGGGGGTAAAATGACACGATGTCTGATACTTGCTTTAAAGTAATTCAGGGAATAGAGAGAGAAAGAGGAAGGAAGTGTGGAAAAAACCTTAATACCATTTAATCTGGGTGAAAAATGCATAGGGTTTACTGTACAGTTTACTCTTTGCTTTTGTGTATTTCTGAAAATGTGTATTAAATACAACAACATTCCAGAACAAAAGGACATGAAAGTATACTGAGCAAATTGAAATACATAGCATGTCCCATGAGTAGGAAGACTTACCATCAGAAAAAATGTCCATTATCCCTAAGTAAATTCACAATTTTTAGCACATCCCAATAAATATATTAACATTATTTTCTTGGAATCAAACAAGCTTATACAGAAAAATAAATAAGAATAGCCAGGAATACTCTGAAAAAGAAGAGCAATGTGGTGGGGAGCAACTTTATTAGATATTAATACGTACTCTAAAGCTTCAAAAATTAAAACCATGTAGTACTGGTGCATGAACTGAAAAGAAATAAAAATCTAAAAGTAGACCTAAGTGTATATGGCAATTTAGTATATGATAAAGGCAGCTTCTCAAATCGACGGGGCTAGAGATGAACTTTCTAATCATTGATATTGGGACAACTGGGAAGGCATTTGGAAAACGATTAAATTTGTTCCATACCTCACACCATACATCATGATAAAATCCAAATAGATCAAAGATTTAATTTCAAAAAATGAAACTGTAAAAGTATGGAAAGAAAACTTAGAAGTGAGGAAGGCCTTTCTAACAATCCCTAAAAATCCAGAAACCATTTAAAAAATGATTGACAAGTTTCACTACACTAAAATCACAAACTTCTCATGGCAAATACACGCACACCATAAACAAAGTCAAAAGACATACGATAAATGGAGGGGGGGAATCTTTGCAACTCTTGTGACAGAGAAAGTAGTACTTTCCCTAACTGTTAAAGAGTTCCTCCTAGAAATTGAGGAGAAAGGCCAGTAAACTAATATTTTAAAAAGGGGCATGGAAGTACAAAAACAGATGGTTCTCTCACACACACAAACCCAAATGCACCTTAAATATGTGAAACAAGCTGTTTAAACCTGCTCATGAAAAAAGCAAATTAACAACTACACTGAGATTCTATTTCTTACCTATCAATTTGCCAGAAGTTCAAAAGTTTGATGCCACTCTCTGTTGGTGAGCTTGTGGAGAAACCAGGTACTCTCATACATTGCCAATGGGACTGTAAATTGGTACAACCCTTAGGTAGGGAAATCTAGAAATAGCTATCAATATTATCAATGCATTACCGCTGACCAGCGACTCCATCTCTGGAAATCTATCCTACAAATATACCTGCACACATATGAAATGACATGTGGACAAGGATATTCACTTCAGCCTTGTTTGTAATAGCAAAAAGCTGGAAACAACCTCTGCCCATCACTAGGGGACTGGTAGAGTGAACTATAGTTCATCTACACAAGGCAAAATTATGCAGCTGTGAAAAGGAACGAGGAAACTCTCCATGCACCGCTAAAGAGAGATCCATGATATATGAAGTAAGAAAAAGAAGGCACAAAACAGTGTAAGAGCATACTGCCTACTTATGAGAAGATACATTCGTATTTGCTTGTAGGGTATTTGTGAGAGGACACGCTGAAGGCTAAACAAACAAAACAAACTAATAAAATGGTTGTTGATAGGGGTGCAATGTGGGGGGAAGACAATGTGGAGGGGGCAGAAGTGGAAGTGAGACTTTCTGCATTTTTCTTTCTATATGGTTTTGGTTTCTGAATCACGTAAAACTTTAAAAATTAAAAAATATATATATCTTCCTAGTTCAGCCATGGAGTTTCTAGTACAAATATGAGACTAGTAATGCTAATCCTTTGAATGGCTATTCTCAGTCCATCGAAACATCATCTGGGATTCTGGAATTGTGCTCTTGTGAAATAAAGCAAATCCCCAGGGGTTACAAATGCTTTCTCTTTTTTCATTTGTCTTTGAAGAAAAGAACTGAGTTTAAGAGGGGCAGAGAGAGTCCAGTTGGATTTGACATTGGCCAAATAGGAGACTGCCCAGATGCTAATGATCATCACCATTCAGCAGCACAAATGCCCTTGGGTGTGCATCACTTCAAGCAAACAGAAGGGAACCTTGCTGAGGGTGGGGTGTCTGGGTGGGGGTGGGGGGCCTGAGCACACTGCATCCAGCTGAGAGTGAAATTCCTTGAGAAAACCCCCTTTCTGTCGCACGCAGCACCCACAGCACTCTGAGCCTGCTTGCAGCCCAACGGCCTCTCCGAGAATGCTACATTTAAAAGTGCAGTTTTTGGATGATTCCCAGAAGATTTTTGTGGTTGATGTAAGTGGAAATCACATTGCTATTATTCCTTTATTATTCATTCAATAATGGTCATTTGTGGACAGCCCATTTGCTGGCGATGTTATGTCTTTTTTAGGATCGAATGAAAGAGGACTGTGGTTTTTAGCTTTGGAAAAAGAAATCTGTATTTAATAGCACATTGGGGCTTATGTTTTCCCATTAACCTTTCTTCTAGAACAGGTTCACTTTTCTCAAGGGAAAACAAAAGTAAATTTTTAAGATATGCTGAATATTTGTAAAAAGTCAGAGCAGCAATAATTTAGCTCTCTTAATCCCATAAGGGATTATTGTTCATTGAAATTATTTGTCTGTGAGTCTCATCCCATGAACGTTTGTGGGAGAAAATTGTGGCTCTGAGGGAGAGGAGAAAAGCTACTCTCCTTTTCTGAAGAAAATCTACGGGGTTGGGGGTAGAATTATGCAGTTATAAGGAGAACTTGAGGAAGTAATGACAAGCATGAAAGGGGAAAATAGGATAAGAGACCATTTAGTTTGATTTCGTGCTTATAGTTCAGAGTTCTTAATATAATTCCTAGCTACAAGATGATTGCGTACAATTATACCTCATCTCTTCAAGAAAGAATAGATGTATTAAGCACATCATTTGGGGTTCATCTTCTAGTATCTTAAGATATGTACATTATGATGTCAGGATTTATGTGTAAGCATTTTGAAATGTTCTTCAGTTTTATTGGAACAAAAAATGTTAGTTGCTCTGATATTTACATTAGCTACTAACAAAGAACAAATAGTTCATTTTCTTTGAAATTCATACAAAATGTCGGTTGTTTTCATTTATACATAAACTGACAACTACCGGAGCTCAGCTGTGATGTTAGACGTGCAGGTAACCCATTTTTGAAATGAGTGGTTCATTTTTATTTGAATCATGTGCTTTGGGGGTGATGACTTCATGGCTTTGGCTGTTGTTTTGCTGTCTCTTCCTTTCACTTTTACGTGCAAAAGGCATTTCTAGGTCCACAGACCTGAATGATTTGTTTTTGTAGCAAATAGCTTCCATTAGAGGTATGAGGCATTTCCTATTCTTTCTTGGAACTATATTTAAGGGGTGGAAAATGTTTTTTTGAGTCGTTTATCCATTTGCAGGCTGATAGTGTATGCTCACAGTGCTCCAGTACCTGAATTAGCGAGTTGGGTATTCAAAAGGCACTGCTCTAGGCTAGGTTTTTAATAGATATTTCAAGCAACTCAAAGAGAAATCTTTGACAAAAAGTGACAGAAGAGCTTTCTGAATGTGCAGTTCAAATTCAGACCCGATTAAGTGGAGGGGCACATACCAGGGCTTCACAAAATTCACTTTCTAAGAAGCCAATTCCAGCAACTTGAAGCCAGCATGATTTGGCTTCCAGTTAGAGTGTCTCTTTCCAGCTGCAACACATTGTGTTCCTTGGGAAGATAATGGGAGAGATTTGATACCCACCAATTAGGGTGTCAAAGCATCTGATCCCTTTTGCTCTGTGGAAGGCTGGGCTGTAAGTAGCAATCATGGTGTTACCGAGAGTGGCAATAGCACTGGCTGCAGTCCCACGAGTGGCTTTGTCCTAAGGGGACAGAAGTTTAAGTTAGCATCCAGTCACCCAACAATATCATCTCTCCTAAACAATAGTAGACTGATGATGATGGTGATGGTGATATTGATAGCAATAGTAGTGAGTCATGGTGGACTGCACTTTAAACTTTACAAAGCAATTTCACATCCGTTAGTTCATGTGATCCTTCATTCCACCTTGTGAGAGAAAGCAGAGAAAAGATTAATTTCCCTTTTTGCAAATTAAGAGATGGGGGCTCAAGGGGGTGAAGTGACTGCGCAGGATCATACAACATGTAAGTGCAGAGCTGGGCCTTCCAATCCAGAACTCTACCTACTACTCCAGGTCTACTCGTATTCAGAGAACTCATCTGCCAGGAGCCTTCTAATCCTTCTGAAATATTGCTCATGAACATTATGTATTTTCTGTCGCCCTCAAAGGGCATAGAGTTTGACATGCAGTGAATCTTTGATGATGGTTGCTAGCTCACTCTATAGGCTCTCCTTTTTTTTAGCATTAACATTCTAAACAGGATAAAGGAATGCTTTTATCCATAATGAAGAGAATTCGTTAGTAACGAAGGAAGCCTTATAGAAGGGCTTTTGACACCAAACTTGTCTAAAGTCCCAAAAGCCATGAATCGTCCCCAGAGAGAATCCTCCTTCAAGATAAGATTCAAGAAAATAATTGGTTGCGTGGAGGAATAGTAGTGGACCCTTGGGCACTGCTGTGCACTTTACAGAAAGTACAATTGTAGAAATTTGTAAAGGACACATGATTACACACAGCAGTGTCACCTAGGGAAGGCTAATTGACATCTAGAACACTTACCCGAACCTCAGTTGCATTATCTTGGTGAATTTGCCAGCGTCCAAGATCTGGCTCAGGCCTAGAGACTCAGAAGTCTGATTCGTCAGCACTACACAAGAACCAAGTTCAGAGACTGATGTTTAAAATCAGAATGCCAGAGTGACCATTTACAGTGGGATAGGGAATACTGGGGTCCTCTTATCAGTTATATCTGATGCCAAATGGTGTCAGAAGCTTCAGACTGAGAGAAATGAGATATATGATATATGATCCTAATATTTGATGGCCAATGATCTCTACAAAGCCCCTGTCATTGAGACCTTTTGGTCACTCATTAATTCATTTAGTTCACAAATCATTAACCAGTTGCCATGGAATCAATTTCTACTCATGGCGACCCCGTGTGTGTCAGAGTAGACATGTGCTCCATAGGGTTTTCAATGACTGAGTTTTCAGAAGTAGATCCTCGAGACTTTCTTATGACATGCCTCTGGGTGAACACAAACCTCCAACCTTTTGGTTAGCAGCCAAGGACATTAACCATTTGCATCATCCAGGGACATCTTGGAAGGTCTAATCATCATTGAAGGTCTAATATGTTCCATATATATATGGAACATATTAAAAACTCACTGCCGTTGAGTCAATTCTGACTCATGGCTACCCTATAGGAAAGAGTAGAACTGCACCGTAGGGTTTCCAAGGAGCGACTGGTGGATTTCAACTACCGACCTTTTGGATAGCAGTCGAATACTTAACCACTCCATGGAACATATTAAAATATTGAACGACACATGAAGCACCAAAAGAAGATGGATGGAATGCGCAGAGTCACTGTACCAAAAAGTATCGGTTGACATTCAACCATTTCAGGAGGTAGCATACGATCAAGAACCGATGGTACTGAAGGAAGAAGTCCAAGCTCTACTGAAGGCATTGACGAAAAGCAAGGCTCCAAGAACTGACAGAATACCAACTGAGATGTCTCAACAAATGGATGCAGTGCTAGGGGTGCTCACTCATCTACGCCAAGAAATTTGGAAGACAGCTACCTGGCCAACCAACTGGAAGATATCCATATTTGTGCCCATTCCAAAGAAAGGTGATCCAACAGAATGTAGAAATTATTGAACAATGTCATTAATATCAGACACAAGTAAAATTTTGCTGAAGATCATTCAAAAGTGGTTACAGCAGTACATTGACAGGGAACTGACAGAAATTCAAGCAGGATTCCGAAAAGGATGTGGAACCAGGGTTATCATTGTTGATGTCAGATGGATCCTGGCTGAAAGCAGAGAATACTAGAAAGATGTATATCTGTGTTTTATTGACTATGCAAAGGCATTCGACTGTGTGAATCATAACAAATTATGGATAACATTGGGAAGAATGGGAATTCCAGAACACTTAATTGTGCTCATGAGGGACCTGTACATAGACCAAGAGGCAGTTGTTCGAACAGAACAAGGGATTACTGTGTGGTTTAAAATCAGGAAAGGTGTGCTTCAGGATTATATCCTTTCACCTTAATTATTCAATCTGTGTACTGAGCAAATAATCCGAGAAGCTGGACTATATGAAGAAGAACGGAGCATCAGGATCGGAGAAGACTCATTAACAACCTGTGTTATGCAGATGACACAACCCTGCTTGCTGAAAGTGAAGAGGACTTGAAGCACTTACTGATGAAGATCAAAGACTACAGCCTTCACTATGGATTACACTTCAACATAAAGAAAACAAAAATCCTCACAACTGGACCAATAAGCAACATCATGATAAAATGAGAAAAGACTGAAGTTGTCAAGGATTTCATTTTACTTGGATCCACAATCAACCCCCATGGAAGCGGCAATCAAGAAATCAAATGACACATTGCACTCAGCAATCTGCTGCAAAAGACCTCTTTAAAGTGTTAAAAAGCAAATGTATCACTTTAAGGACTAAGCCTGACCCAAGCCATGGGTGTTTTCGATCACTTTGTATGCGTGCGAAAGCTGGACAAAAAAGGAAGACCGAAGAAGAATTGATGCCTTTGAATTATGGTGTCAGCGAAGAATATTGAGTATACCATGTACTGCCAGAAGAATGAACAAATCTGTCTGGGAAAAAGTACAGCCAGAATGCTCCTTAGAAGCAAGGATGGCGAGACTTTGTCTCCGGTACTTTGGACGTGTTATCAGGAGGGATCAGTCCCTGGAGAAGGACATCATGCTTTGTAAACTAGAGGGTCAGAGAAAAAGAGGAAGACCCTCAGTGAGATGGATTGACATAGTGGCTGCAAGGATAGGCTCAAGCACAACAATGATTGTGAAGATGGCACAGGACACGGAAGTGTTTCATTCTGTTGTACATAGGTTGCTATGAGTTGGAACTAACTCGATGGCACCTAACAATAATATTTTCCAGGCCCTGTTCTGGGCACAGCACATGCAATTATATGGGTAGGCAAAGTCCTTGAGCAAGGGTACACTCTGGCCTGGGCAGTGCTGGCTGGGCACTACCAAAATTGGCTTCAGTGACTCCTGTTTCTCTCATTGCATAGTTGGTGTCTTGGTTACCTAGTGTTGCTTTAACAGAAATGAGATGGTGCAGTGGTTAAGAGCTATGGAAAGC